TCTCAACCTGTGGGTCGCTATCCCTCTAGGGGTTGAATGACCCTTTTACAGGGGTTGCCTAAGACATAACAGTAGCAAAATTACAGTTATGAAGTAGCAACGAAAATAATTTTATGGTTGGGGGTCACCACAACATAAGGAACTGTATTAAAGGGTTGTGGCATTAGGAAGGTTGAGAACCACCGTGTTAGATTGTTTATTTCCATTTTGTTTAGTTCTTTTCCTGGAGTTTTGTTCTGTTCTTTCATTTGGGGCATATTTTTTTGTCTCCTCCTTTTGGCTCCCTCGCTGTGTTTATTTCTAGGTATGAGGCAGAGCTGCTATGTCTCCTAGGCTTGGTAAGGTGGCGTATTGTAGTAGGTGTCCTGTAGGGTCCAGTGGCACAGCCTCCCTGATCACCCCAGCTGGGCCCTCGAGGTATACCTCCCATAAGGACTATACCCTCTTCTGTTGTAATTGAGTCTTATTGCTGTTGTCATATCAATGGTAGGCATTTACTTGGGCTGATCAGCTGCAAGGATTGTTTCTGACCACTGACCTCTGACCACCTTGGAGGATCAGCTGTGCAGGGGCCCACCACACAGAGCAAGACTTACTTCAGCAGGGCTCTGGTACCCTCTGAGCCCACCCCTTGAGTGTGTCGCTTTTGAAGGTGGTTGGGTGGTAGTGCTTCAGTGTGATCTGAAGCTGTTCCTTGGGTGTGTTGACTCTGGGGCCTATGGTAAAACCACTGGAAATAGCTTGTGTGGGCCCAAAAGTTGGTTGGGGCAGGGCCTCAGAGCATCACCAGGGTGGGTCAAACAGTGTGAACCAGGTTGCTGGAGTCTCAGATATGGTGCCTGTCTGCCAGACCCGTGGGAGAAGGGCTCACCAAAGAAACAACCGCCTCCTCCAGCATGTCTGTCTGCGAGAAAACTGCCTCTCCAGCTCTCACCGATGCCAAACAACTCAGTTCTTACCCATATGTCTCTGGTGCCCTTCAAGCTGCCTCCCCCATCCTGGAACCCAGAGGGTGTAAGTCTGAGTAAATCTGTGTGTGAGCCCTTTAAGAGGAGCTGCCTGGGGCTCCAGCATCCTCAGCCTCCCTCAGGCTCAGTTCCCACTGGTTTTTATAGCCAGAAGTGATGGGGACTTCTCTTCATGGTACTAGAACCCTAAACTGGGTGCCTGGTGTGAGTTGGGGATCCCTCCTTAAGGAGGACCTTCCCAGCTGAAGTGTCCCTCTGGATTTTACTTGCCACATGTAGGTGTGGGACCAGCCTGTTTGTTCCTCTGCCCCTCCTACCAGTCTGCATGTGGCTGCTTCTTTAATTTCGTAGTTGTAAGACTTCCATTCAGCTTGATTTCAGGTGGTTCTAAATGATGGTTCTATAGTTGTTATTTTGATGTGGTTGTGGGAGGAGGTGATAACCGCATTTACTCACGCTGCCATCCTGACCAGAAGTTGAACCTGCCACCTTTTGATGTGTGGGACAATGCTCCCACCAACTGAGCCACACCGGCTGGGGCAGGAAACTCATTTGAACAAGTAACTTACGGAGCTGTTTGACATGTGTTCATCGACTTTGTCTTTGTATTACGTGGTGCAAGCCCTTTTGAATTGGAGAGGAAACTGCAACATGTTTCTAATTCTGTTACCATGTTTTCTTACCTGGAATTTTTAGTTCATTAAGACTTTTTAATCACTTTAGGAAACATTATTAGCTTCTAAGAAGTAAAGGTGTTTTCAGGAAAGGTAATCTCTGGGTAGTTTGAAATTAATGGTATTTAGAATTCAAATGCAATTTTATAAATTTTTTAGCAGCAAATGTAGAGTACGTTTTTATTATTGGTTTAGACTATAAATCAGGTCATCTTGGAAGGAGAGCCTTTGAGTTGTTTACAATAGTTGGCCATTGTGAATAATGGTTTGATAAACATTTGTATACAAGTTTTTGAGTGGTTTTATGTTTTTACTTCTCTTTACAATTTTCACCTAGGAATGGAATTTTTAATTGCTATGCTATTCATGAACTTCATTGCCTACTACATGATATCTCCTGCTTAGCCCCACATTTAAGAGTTTCCACATGATGGTTCTAACCTAACCTATGTGTCCATAATCATTTGCTGACTTCCTACATGTAGTCTAAGCTTCAAACAAGCCCTGTTGCCCAATATTCCTAAAATGCATCTTGCATTTTCTCACTTCTATCGGTTTTTGGGAATCTTAACTGCTACTTAGAGATTATTGGAAATACCTCCTCTATAGTCAGGTTTTCCCTGGCCATTTCTCTTCTCCCCAACTCAACTCTCAGAACACTTTATTCTTTTATGGCTCTTAATACTCTTTGCCCTGTATCATCTGGTCTTATAGACCTGTGTTGTCCAATACAGTAGCTATCACCTACAGGTGACCATTTAATTAAAACTTAAAGTTAAACTAAGATGCAGTTCCTTTGTTGTGCTGGCCACATTTGAAGTGTTCAGTAGCCATTAGTGGCTTCAATGTGTGGACAGAGCAGACACATTTCCATCTTCGTAGAAAGTTTTTTTGGACAGCATTTTTCTAGATTGTAAACTCAGAACAGGGACTGATTTGCTTTCTTGTTTTCCCTATAGCCTTTGCATAGTGCTCTGCTCAATTAAGAAAATATAATTATGTTGGAACAGAATAGAGAAATAGAGTTTTGGGAAATATTCACTTCTTGAGATGTGATAGTTGAACCAGAAAAGTAGATGAAGTATGTGAGGGACTCCACAATTCTTATGTTGTAGATCTGCCAAGAATGGATTAAAAGTGCAGGATAATAGGGATTGGCAGTTGTCAGTTTGCTCATTCTTAAACCGTGGGGTAAAAATTCACAATTGATTCTCCTGATTGCTTATAATATATCTTCCTATCCTTATTTTCTCTTTATTCTGTAGACCTGTGCTGTTCAATTGTGGTAACCCTTAGACACATGTGAGGAAATTGAAACTGAAATTTAATAAAACCACAACATAGATCTTACACTAGCCACCTTTTTTCAGGGTGCTCAGTAGGTTCTTTTAGCTAATGGCTACCATATTGGACAGCACAGACAGAGAATACCTGCATCACTGCAGAAGGTCTGCTGGGCAGCATGGATCTGTGCTTACCTCTTAGCTCTGGTTGTAGCTGTCATGGCAGATTTGGCATCTGCCTTTGGTTTAGAAGTTTAAAAAAATTAAACAATTAATTATTCAAGTAGTGAATGTCCTAGTCACTGATGCCCCCAGTTTATTCCATTTGGATTAGAACTTGTTACAAAGGTTAAGGATATGACCAAGTATATTCTTTTTGCATATTGAACTGCTTGGTTGTGAATATTCTAAATGAGTCAGGTGAGCTGAAGATTTCAAGTAGTTCATTTTTGTATTTTGTCTTTATAATATAATTTGATATTATAGTTTTGAGGTGCATGTGTTTTTGAGAAAGTCAGCAAGTAGTTGCACGTCTTTTGTGGCAGACATTGTTATTTGTGCTGGAAGTACTACAGTAAGTAGGCCCAAGTCCCTTTTCCCTACCTGCATTGGGCTACATTCTAGTTAGGGATGTGGTGGGAAAGGTTAAACAAGTAAATGCACGTGCATTTTGCTGACTCTTCCTGCTGGGGGTTGTCGCATTGCAATGAACTATAAGACACTGCTTGGAGTGAGGGGGAGCATTACAAGGGAGCAGATGCTCCAGATCTCTGGATGCAGTCCAATTTATTGGCAAAGTGGTTTCCTAGGTCACATGGTGTTTTAGGTAATTAAGTCCTTGAGATCGCATCTCTGCTGACCATACAGCCAAGCCCAGCATATTTCCTGTCTCTCTCTGTTTTCAGAAGAGATACATCATAAACACATTCATGCTTGGGCAAATCGCCCATTGTCACTGCCAGGATGGCTTTTCAAACACAATTCACACATACCTTATCTGTTCACATGCATACGTTGATCCTTGGCTGGTCAGGCTGCATACCTCAAGGTTACATTTTGTTCATCCACCAAACACCCAACCCTACATCTCCCCCTTTTTTGTTTTCTTGAAGTTGAGGAATCACCATGACTACAGTGGTCAGCAGTGTCATCACTCACTTTTTAGTCTGCATAGAGGACACCATTTGCCAGAGTCCTCAGAGTGCTATGAGGCCAACACAAACAAGAAAACAACCAATAACAGTAAACATCCAAATTCTAAGGTTGAAAACCTCAAACCAATGCTTTGGATTGAGCCATTGGCCATTATCTGAGATTACCTTTAAAACATTCTGTTGATCAAGTTGTTGTATATCTGCTAACTGTGTTTCCAGAGTCTTTTTTAGATTGGCAGCTTGCCAGCAAAAGCTCCTTGTAAGTGTTGCTAATTGTGGGAGGTGGCATTCCAAGGCAATGCAGTTACACACATATTATGACTAAATTCCCAGTCACAGAGAAGTGAGTGTCTAAGGCCTCTTCACGCTCTCCTGGCCATAATACAGCTGCCTCTAAGGCAGTGGTTCTCAACTTTCCTAATGCTGTGACCCTTTAATATAGTTCCTCATGTTGTGGTGACCCCCAACCATAAAATTATTTTCATTGCTACTTCATAACTGTAATTTTACTACTGTTATGTCTTAGGCAACTCCTATGAAAGGGTCATTCGACCCTCAAAGGGGTCGCGACCTACAGGTTGAGAACCGCTGCTCTAAGACGTCTAATCGAGCTAGGATTCCTTCATCAGTCCCTGTCTGGGAAGTCATAGCTTTAGTAACATTGGTCATTACTTTAGCCACTGTATGTGCCGTTTGGACCGATTCTGTTAAGGCCGTGACTGAAACATCTGCAGTAGCAGCGATGACTATAGCTGAAATTATGAATGCTATAAGCCACCCAATAAACCTCCTTTTACAAGGGTGTCTAAATGCTTCAGCTAATTGTGCTAGGCCAGATTCACCTTCCCATGGGTGAGTAAGGTTTACTGGTATCCATATTTCTGCTTTACGGCGCATGGGAATAATGCTAGTAATACTAAGAATAGTAATATTTTCATTAGTAATGCAGCTTAGATAATAAGGTTGATTAACAGAAATGTTAAATCTATTACTACTTTCAGAGATAGTTAAAGAAGAGGCAGCCAAGAACATACGAGTGAGAGGTGCAAGTCATTACAGAATCAGTATGATTAGTAGTCAATGTAAAATTGCTACTATGAATATAATTTCCATGAGATATATACCTCATAAAGAAAGGCAAACCCAGTCTCCAAATTCCTGTGTGCCAGGGGCCAGTATGATTTTTAGAGCTAGCCCTGAGAACAGGTCCTGAGAGACCTCCATTGGTCCATGAAATAGAGGCACTGGAGGGTGTGAAAAAGTTTAACTCATGATGATTGCTGGACAAATGTCCTTGAAGACCCCAGTCCTCAATAATAAGGCTCAAATTTGGGCTAGCTGTGGACCGTCCTCTCAAGCAGCAAGGCTTCCAGTGTGGGGCCAGGGACTCAAGGTTGGTTCTTTGAAACGTAGCACAGGTGGGGATGGACACAGGGGTTTGGAATTTTGAGAGAGAGTGTCTGTGCTCTAACCCCAGTTCCCATGATAAAGGTACAGTTAGCAGTCTGTCCCGATGTGGCTGGCTTATAGTACAAATGCCACTGTATGGAACACAGCCAGGGGTTTCATGGATGGACAAACAAAGGGGGGGTAGCTCTGATAAAAATGAAGCAGTGGCATTGGCCTGGAACCAATTCTCATTCTCTTATAGCGGTCCATCTGTGGGAAGCCAAGTCCTCCTGTCCAGCAAGTGTTATTGCTAGATAACAGGGCCTCTGTATCCCACCAAGCGACAGGGTGGAATAAACAGAGGTCCATAATATGAGCCCAATATAAATGTTGTTCTGCTGCTACAGGGCTCAATAATATAAACAAGCAGCATAAAATACCTACCCCAGACTGTGTGGAGACTATAGATAAGTAAGCCAAAAAATATTCTCCGGGGTAGAGGAGCCCTTACTCTAGCTAGTACTTCCTCAGAATGTTGCTGCAGCTGCTTAAGGCTTCCCCAAGTAACCCCAGGAAAATTTCAAGAGGGGCCCTGAGACCAAGCATGAGTTTTATGATTAGCATCCAAGGTGAGCTGTGCCCTCTGAGGAACTGGGTTGAAGGCAGGTCCTTCCTATTCATGGTAAGGTCTTATCCATGGAGCCACAAGCCACTTGGGACCTGTAGGAGACAAAACACAAGCATACCCTTGCCCCCCCATGCCAGTAACTGCAGGGCCCTGCCATTTGGGCCTCTGCTGTGGATCTCTATACTTCATAAAGGCTTGGGCCCTATGACGGAAGCCTTTTGTTGAAAATGTCACGCTGCAGCTATAGTGCCAAAGTGATCCCGATTTTAAAAATTAAGGGTATAGATTGCTAGAGAAAGTTGATTTGTAGAGGGTTCACTCATATTCCCCTTCTTTTTGTTTTGTAATTAATTTTAAAGTAGAATGAGCATGTTCAACAATAGCTTGCCCTGTAGGGTTATAGGGGATGTCAGTTCTATGTCCAATGCCCCACTGTTGAAGAAATAATTTAATGCTTTGAGATGTATAGGCTGGCACATTATCTGTTTTAATTTCTAGTGATACACCCATATGTGCAAAACAGGACAGCCAGTGATGCTTAACGTCTTTGGCTTTTTCTCAGGTAGCAACGGTTGCATGCAGGAAATTGGAATGAGTATCAGCAGTAACATGTGCCCACTGAAATCGACCAAATGATGGAATATATGTTACATCTATCTGTTTGCCATAAGGCATTTGGGGTTAAACCCCGAGGATTGACTCTTGCTGGTGTTGAAGTCCCTCTGGAAAGTTGGCAGTCTAGGCAAGCCTTAATAATATCTTGAGCTTGCGAGAGGGTCAAATGCAAGGTTTCCATGAGTGCTCGAGCATTCTGGTGACAAAAGTCATGCGAACTCTTCACTTGCTGAAATGCATGAGTTGCTGCTACAATGACATCCACCTGCTGATTTCCTCGTGTTAAAGTTCCGGGGAGCATGGAATGAGATCAAATGTGGGTTTTAAAAGTAGGATGAATTCGTTGGTCTATTAAAGTTTGGAGAGACAAAAATAAGGTTAATAGATGCTGATCAGCTAAAGGTTTAATATAGGCTTGATCTATTTTTTGTAACACTTTAACTATATTTAAGGGCTTTTCTGTAAATTGCTGAAGAGCTAATATTGCAGCCCGTAATTCAGCACACTGAGTTGACCCAAGCTCAAGGCTGCTAATATTTCTCCATTCCTCATTTTCTTTCCAGGCTACACCTGCTCTGTGAGACTTACCTGATCCATTAATGAATACAGTTTTAGCCCCAGGTAATGGGGTATTACTGACTTTTTTTGCACCATGTTAAGGTGTAATTGAGGAATATTTTGCAATAATTTATTTGCTGGAAGAGAGTAATTACTTTCCCCAGTGAAGTCTAATGGAGCTACTTGAAAGTCCATTGCCTGGGAAATCAAAGTGGTAAATTGTTCCTGAGTAAGAGGCAAATGTAGAGTCTGAGGGTCATACCCTATCAGTTCTTGTGTTCTTTTTCTATCTTTGGCTATTAGATTTGGTAACTGTTTGACAAATGGAGTTATTGTTTTAGATGGGGTAGTTGGGAGAAGGATCCATTCAAGATATTTTATTTCAGGTGTTAATTGTCCTATTAATGCTGTAGGATGGTGCAGGTGGATATACAAATAGCCGAATAGTGTCCTTTAATGACCAATGATGAGCTTGTTGGGTTTGTATTTGAGTAGATATTTCTCTAAGTTCTTGCTTCGTCCTTATAGATAGAGTTCTAGGTGAATTTAGTGCTGGATCACCCATGAGGGTATTAAATAAATGAGTTAACTGCTGAGTAGTGATACCAAGCATAGGTCGAAGCTAACTGATGGCTCCCAATAATTTTTATAATTCATTTAAAGTTTTTACTTTTATTGGAATGGTAAGTTTCTGGGGGCAAATAGTTCTTGCCCCTAATATCCACCCTAAGGATTGCTAAGGTTCTAATTGCTGTACCTTGTCTGGAGCAATTTGTAATCCTGCCTCTTTCAAAGTCTCCTGAAGCATTACATAGGCCTGATTTAAGTCTTTTGGGGTAGAGGCAGCTGACAAAATATCATCCATATAATGATACAGATAAACGGCAAGAAATAGTTTTCTTACTGGATCAATAGCATGATGCAAATACTATTGACAGATTGTTGGACTCTTTATCATTCCTTGGGGTAGTATCTTTTATTGAAACCATTACATTGGTTTACTATTGTTAATGGAAGGAACAGAAAAAGCGAATGTCTCTTGATCTGTAAGGACTAAAGGGATAGTGAAAAAACAATCCATATGATCTATAGCAGTTACAGGCCATTTTTCAGGAATCACTGTGGGACTGGAGAGCCCAGGTTGTAGTGCTCCCATGGGTTCCAAAACAGCATCGATTGCCTTCAAATCATGAAATAATCTCCATTTACCACCTTTTTTAGGAATAACAATAATGGGGGTATTCCAGGGACTAACTGAAGGTTCTGTATGACCTGTTTCTAATTTTTTTTTTATTAATTTGTTTGCTTGTAATAATTTTTCCCCTTTTAAGGGCCACTAATCAACCCATAGTGGCTGTTGTTTTCCAGGCCAATGAAAGGAGGAATTTTACCAGTGATCCCTAGCCAAAAGGCTGAGTTTTAATAACCATTCCCCATTGAGAGAGAAGATCCCTTCCCCACAAATTTAGAGGAGACTCCATGACATGAGGTTGAACCCCTCCTCTTTGTCCATCTGGGCCTGTACAGGAAAGGGAGCGAGTACTGTGTTGAGGAGCCTGAGCTCCTCCCACTGCTGTTACTAGCAGGGGTACTGGGGCTTTAGGCCATTTTTCAGGTCATTCCCTAGTTGTTATAATAGAAGAGTCTACCCCTGTACCCACTAATCCTGAAAATAGTTGCCCTTGTATATTAATGGAGAGTAAGGGCAATTTGGTGTTAATAGCAGCCATCCAGAAAATATCACTCTGACCAGTGCCCCCAATTCTGCATTTCCTCTTATCCTGGAAGTGGCTCTAGGGACCCAGTATGGTAACAAAAGGAGTTGAGCTATTCTGGTTCCTGGTGTTAACACGTGAAAGCCTGAGGACATTTTTGCACTTATCTTCAGATAGAGCTGGAGGGAAAGAGGGAGGGAGAGAGAGAGAAACATCAATGTGAGAGAGACACATCGAGTGGTCGCCACCCACATGATCCCAATTGGGGGCTGAGGACAAACTGCAACCGATGTACATGCCCCCAGTGGGAACCAAACCCGGGTCTCTCTGGTCCATGGGCTGAAGCTCTAACCACTGAGAAAACTGGCCAGGGCTCCTTAAGCATTATTTTAATTCCTTCTTCGAAATCTGAGTCAATTATCCCTGGTATCACTTGAATTTCTTTCATTGTTAAACTAGATCTTCCAATCACTAAACCCATCTTTCCCTCAGGCAAGGGGCCATAAACTCCAGCAGGAGGAGCTAGATAAGTAACATCAGACTCCTTAAGGGTTAATTATGTGGTACTGATAAGGTCCAGGCCAGCACTTACCACTGTTGATACTTGGAGGTCTCCAACCCTCCACTTGATTGACTGAGGAAAGCCTGAGGCTGAGAGACCCAGGGAGCTGTTGGGGCTCCGGGTCTCAAGCCCCTTCTCTCGTTTCCCAATAAGGAATTTCCTGTTTTGATAAATTTAGACTTACACCAATACAGCCCTTTGCCACATCAAGACTTAGTAGGAATGGCACTGATTCCAACCTTTCTTTTTCTACATTCCTTCTGAAAATGACCTGGCTTTCCACAATTGAAACCTAATTTGGACCCTTGTTGTCCTTTTTTGAATCCTCTAATTTGCAATGTCCTGAGATCAGCAGCTAATGCTCTGGACCTGTGCACTTCTGTCCCTACATTCTGACATGTTTTTATACATTTCCCTATCTTTGAGGTTATTCCCTACAAAGGAGCAAGTACAGCCTGACAATGTACATTAGCATTCTCATAAGCTAACTTTAATAACATTGTATCTGCTACTTCTGATTATCAACCTGTCTACTTACTGCTGCTTGCAACTGATTAACGAATGACATAAGATTTCTGTGTTTCTTGTCTAACTGTAGCAAAAGAGCCTGACCTTTCTCCAAACTCTGGAACCCTTTGCCAAGCTTTAGTAACCAAATCTGAGGCCTTACGAAACAATCTAGCATCTTGCCTTACCTGCACTCGGGGTTCTAAATAGTTTCTTTGCCCAATAGGAATCCCTGCCCCAAGATTCTCCATTCCCTGTTGGGCGGCTCCCTCCTAATACTCTAACTTCCACACGGTGAATTGGCCCAGCTGTTTTTATGAACGCTACCCAATCCCAGGGAGCCATCTGATAACTACTAGCTACTCCCTCTAATATTCCTACAGTAAAGGAACTTTGTAAACCACTTTCCATAATGCTTTACCTGAATTATTTAAAAACCTGATAGGGCAAACATTCATGCACAGATTGCTGACCTGGCTGTATTATAGCTGGGAAAATGCCCAAATCCCCAGCTTTCCTGGCCTCTCTAAAACAGCCCTCCATAGCTGGGTTTGGAGAGGCTGTGGAATCCTCCACAAAAGGTGGAGGAGGAGAGGGAAAATTTTCCTCGTTTAATGACCATGGGGTGGGGGGTGGGGAGGCTGACACCAGAATCTCTTCCAAGGGGGGAGATTGGAATCACCACACTGCTAGGACTGATTTCCTTAGTTATTGGCTGCAATGCTGTAAATACCAGTCGCCAAAAAAGAAGGATGGAGACAGAAAGATTACACCCCAAATCCTTGCGCACCCTAAAGGTTTCCCCCACTTTGAACCACACATCAGAATCCAGTGTGCCCTCCTTAGGGAACATGGGCAGTGCTCCTCAGAAGCTGCGGGAGCTTCCGCTCTGATGCGGAGCATTGAGCTGCTTTCAGCAGCTATTGTAAGACTCACACATAAAGTTGCTGATCTTTAGGAAATCCCACCCCCACGCTGTCTTACTGGAAAACCCCTCACTACACTAGATATGCGAGCAGCTGTCCCAAGCCAGGTGCCGCTGACTTGAAATAACTCGAGCATACTTTTACTTTTGATCCAGATCACTAATTACCTTTCACATATCGTCACATTGCTGGTCACGTCAAATCATATTGCTGCGTATTTGAGTCACGTCGGTGTCACCACTTGGCCGATTTTCTTGGCCTGCCGAGGGTCGTCACAACACAATGAACTACAAGCAGATACTGCTTGGAGTGAGAGGGAGCATCGCAAGGGAACAAATGCTCCAGATCTCTGGAGGCAGCTCAATTTATTTGCAAAGTGATTCCCTAGGACACATGGTGTTTTAGGTAATTAAGTCCTTGAGATTGCATCTCTGCTGACCATAGAGCCAAGCCCAGCTTATTTCCTGTCTCTCTGTTTTCAGCAGAGATACATCATAACAAACACATTCACGCTGGGGCAAAGCACCCATTGTCACTCTCAGGGTGGCTTTCCAAACCCAGTTCATGCATACCTTATCTATTCACACATATACTTTTCATTCCGGGTGGCATTCCAGCCCATATTCTTACATACCTTATCTATTCCCATGTATACTTTGATCCTTGGCTGGCCAGGCCATGGGAATGCATACCTCAAGATTACTTGTTCATCCACCAAACTCCAACCCTACACATTTTATGTATTTTTATTTTTTAAATAGACCTTATTTTTTAGAGCATTTTTAGGGTCGCAAAACTAAGTAGAAAGTACAGAGAATTCCCATGAACTACCTGTTGCCCACTTTCACCCCTTCCCCCTTCCCATGCTGTTTTTATTGTTACATGTAAGTTTGCCTTAAGCCTTAACTACCACATAAATCAGTGAATGGCTTACTTGATGAGAATACTGAACAGTCTTAATTAAGCTAACACTTTAAAAATACATTGGGTAATAAAATCCAGAGGAGCTTGCTGGAGATATTAAGGATAATCATTTCTATTGGGGAAGGGATAAAATCATGATTGTAGCTGTGCAAGTTCTTGGACTTTTTAGGAAAAAAAGATTGTGAATGCTAGAACACTGAATGGGTAATAGAGTTGCTGGACTGTAGCTAATTTTGTTAGGAAATATATGCATATTTAACAAGGTAGTTAAGAAATAGAGAAAAATGCAAAAAGAATACTAAATCCACCCCATCTAGAGACAGTTACTCTTCATTTTTAAAAATTTACTTCTAGACTTTTTCTGTTTGTTCTGGGGTTGCCATGCTTGTACATCTAGGTGTAGATTTGAGATCATGTTGCATATGTAGTATCATACCCTTCTTTTTTCTACTTAACATTTATAAAAGCAGCTGCATGATATTTCATGTTGTGGGTCGATCTGTAACTTAACTATTCTTTTTTGTTATAAGGACATTTAGGTTATTTTCAGAGCGCCCCCCCCCCCCCCCCCCCCCGTTTTAAGCAGGGACATAAAGAACATTTTTTTTCCCTTATCTTCTGATGGACCGAAGCAGTTGTAAAGGAAAGTTTACAGTATCCTGGTGTTTGCCTATTAGGACTTTGTTATTGCTTTTCTGTTCACTGTTGGTTAGCAGCAGCATGAGATGCCTTGTTTATGTAAAGGAGAGGAAGGACTCTTGCTACCTACTATTTTGAGACTGATGCTGGAGAAACACCTGAGAACAATAGTGATTGACTAAATTAATTTTTTTTTTTAGTTCCTAAAGTCATGAATCCTGTTTATAGTCCTGGTTCTTCTGGGGTTCCCTATGCAAATGCCAAAGGAATTGGTTATCCAGGTAAGCAAGTACAATTTTGTTTTCATTACTGAAATTTGAATTTGAACACTGGTGAAATTCCATGTCATTAAGAATGCTTTCTGTTAACAAACGCAGCTCGAGTGGCTTAGGTAAGAAAGCAAATATATTGGGTCATGGAACTGAAAAATCATGGTACTGGAAAATCAAGAACTCTGGTGACTCCAGTGGTTTGAGACTAGGATCTAGTGTCTCTGCCTCCTGGGCTCAGCATTACGTCCTTAGTATTAGCTCAGTGTTGGTTACAGGTCACACTTCTCCCCATTGTGGTTGCTCTGTGTTTAGCCCTTCCCATCAAGTCCCTTGGCTAACAGCCTTTTATTTCTGCTCTACAGGAAAGCCCCATAGACCTTGTTCTCTATTCAAACCATTCTTTTGCTTTGTTTTAATAGGACTCAGCTTCCATCCCCAGGCCAGGGTAAGATGTCTGCTGATTAATTTCAGTCTGAGCTACATTCCCCACCCTTGTTAGAGTCAACTAGTCAAACATGGGCTGTGAGAGAAGGGTGAAGCAAAATTTGGAGGAATGGGAGCTGGTTGGTTAAAAATAACAAATGGGGCCCTGACTGGGTAGCTCAGATAGTTTGAGCATCATCCCTGTATGCCGGGGTTTCAGGTTTGATTCCCAGTCAGGGCACGTACAAGAATCAAATGCGTAAATAAGTAGGACAACATGTCGATGTTTCACCCCCCTTCCTTTCTCTCTTTCAAATCAATCAATAATAATAGTAAAAGCAAATGGTTGTCTTAATTGTTGAGTTTTGGACAAGGAATAATTATTTGTAATGTTACAGTTTCATTTTGGGTTTTGATAATATGGTAGAACAGATAAACTTAAAATCATGTCAATAAAAAAAAACTAAAAAACTGAATAAAACATTTTAAAAAATGTAACTGAACTTGCAAGAATGTAAGAGAAATATCTGCAGGTAAATATGAAAGTGATATAAAAACCAGTGCATTTGACTATTGAGCTGATATTGTGTTGTCCTGGGGACATTTGTTATTTGTGGATTTAAATAACCCACATGGGGACAGAAAGTGAGGCCTTAGGCCCTTGTTGGAGTTAGAGTGGGAACTCTCATCAGTCTGGTTCCTCCAGAGAGTGATACTCCCAGTGAAGAGGTAGACTGAATCAACCCATTTACTGACCTAGAAGGAAGTTTTTCCGTGGTTTCTGGGAAGGGGTAAAATCTTTCCTAAAAATATGTAACATAAAAAATAGTTTTAGGCCCTGGCCGGTTTGGCTCAGCGGTTGGAGCGTCGGCCTGCGGTCCTGAGAGACCCGGGTTCGGTTCCCGCTAAGGGCGCGTACCTCGGTTGCAGTTTGTCCCCGGCCCTGGTCGGTCGTGCGGGTGGCAGCCACTCGATGTGTCCCTTTCACATCGATGTTTCTCTCTCTCTCTCTGTTCCTCTCTCTCCCTCCCGCTCTACCTGAACAACAACAAAAAAAAATAGTTTTAGCCTGCAGTATTCCCCGGAGCACCTGAGAGCAGCAAGTGCAGACTGCTCTAGAGGTGTTGTTCTCAATCCAGGTTTTGAGGGTTTCCCATGGACTTCTGTCTCTTCGCAGTGCAAAATTATTGGCGTGTGTGCAATCCCCACTGGAAAGAGTTTGCACACTTTTCTTGCCATGGGTCCCCAGCTCCACCCCCCTTTTCTGAGCCTGTCAGCAAGGTAGTATGTACCGTGGCCCGCAGAGGGCTGTCTGGACCCAAGTTTGCATCTGTGCCTCTGGCTTGTGTAGGTCAATGGCCCAGTGCCCAGATAGGTAGCTGAGGATTGCCTTTGAAGTTATTTTTAAAGTTTTGAGTAGTTCAGCACTTGATTCTTTTGCTCCATTGTGGAAACATGTCTCCACAATTACTACTTCACAGTTACGAGTGTTACAGGATTCAACTAATGAAACTACTGCTCATTCTGACGCTGGCAGCGAACTTGAAGAAACAAAGGTCAAAGGAAAAGGAAAAAGGGGTCATCTTGTCCAGCTTCCATCCATGAATAAGTAACCTTGAAAATCTCCTGGAGAGAACAGGAGAGTTGAAGCTGTGGAAGAGCTCACACAAACAGAAACATTGAACTTCTGAATTTAATCAACTTTTTTATCCATTGTTCTGGATGTCGAGGTATACTGTGAGAATAGAGATGTTTCGAAATTTGCAGAATGCAGAAATTATCAGAAAAATGACTGAAGAATTTGATGAAAACAGGGGTGGTCATCTGCTTATCATGCCTGGATCTCTGGAAAAATTTGTGAATTTATTGGAGTCCTGATTTGACAGTGTTAGTATAGCATAATTTATGATGAGCATATGATGGACACAGTGTCTCCCTTTTGACTGGTTTATTGGACTCCCAGGTCAGTTTTTAGGCATACAAGCACCCTTGCTGCCATGAAGCTCATGACTACTTTGGTGACTGTTGCCTTAAACCTCAGAATTCAGCCCTGGCCAGTTTGGCTCAGCGGTTAGAGCGTCGGCCTGTGGTCCTGCTAAGGTTGCGTACCTTGGTTGCAGTTTGTCCCTGGCCCTGGTTGGTCGTGCGGGTGGCAGCCACTCGATGTGTCCCTTTCACGTCAATGTTTCTCTCTCTCTCTCTCTTCCTCTCTTTCCCTCCCACTCTATCCAAGCAGAAAAATGGAAAATGTCCTCGAGTGAGGATAAAAAAACAAACAAACAAAAAAAACCTCAGAATTCATCAGGATAATACACAGAGACAATGTGAAGTTGAAAGAAATAAAACCATTGGGAAAAGAGATAATGAATGCTTACAGTCACTACTTTAGAAACACAAAGAGGTACAAGAAAATCAGGATGAAATAAAAAAATATGATGAACTCTCTTTTTAAGGGTATATTTGTTCTTAGATACTGTGATGCTATTGCTGAGATTAGAGCCATTTGTATTAAAGAAACTGTAGTATGGATGAAAATGTATAGTGATGCCTTCCTAAATGACAGTTAACTAAAATATGTTGGCTGGACTCTTCATGACAGGCAAGGAGAAGTCAGGCTGCATTTTTGAAAGTTCTAGAATCTATATGCCAATAGAGAATTATTCCCCAAATTGGAGCTATTCACAAACTAATTCAAGGATTGCATTGTGTCAATGACATTTGATAAGGAATATGATGTTGCTGTGAAAGCTATTTGATTGGTTGCTCTGATATTTCATAGAAGAAGCTCTTTCCAATGAAGACTGAAAATGTTTACCACTTGATGTACTCAGCACATCATCCTGTTGCTGTGGCAGCTGGAGAATTCTTTCACAAAAGTTGTTTAGCAGACATGACCCACAAGCAGAAGAAGCATTAGCAAAGAGGAGGGGAAAGAAAAGTCCAAATGGGAATCTCATTATGATGCTGGTTTTTCTTTCTTGAACGCTTTCATGTTACTCTGTGAAAAAATCATCTTTTGGTGATTTTTAGCCACCAATTAATTACAGGTGGCAGGGAGGGCCTTCAGCTTTTGGTGTTTAATCCAGATATTGAACTCCAATCTGAACTCCTTAGTTTTGTGATGGATCATGTTTTCATTGACCAAGATGAGGAGAACCAGAGTATGGAGGGTGATGAAAAAATGAAGCAAATAAAATTGAGTCTTTACCTAAAAGAAGACATCAACTTGCTGCCTTCAGCAAACTTATCATTTATGATATTGTTGACATGCAAGCAGCTTCAGACATCTTTAAACACTACATGAAGTATTACAATGACTATGATGATAAAATCAAGGAAACATGAGTAACGTGAGGCAGATTGATAACATTAAGTGTGCCAAGACCCTCATTCTCGATTTATGGCAGTTGTTTAATGACCTTGTTTAAGAGCAGGGTCCCAACCTAGACAGGATATTTGCCTTCGTCATTGGCATTAAAGAATTGGCATGTCACTTTGCCTATACCTTTGGACTGGACCAAAAAATCAAGACATGAGACTCAGTTGCCACACTTCACAAAAATTATATAGAATTTGTCTTTAAACGCCAAAATCAGAAAGGACAGAATGTCCACCTCTTAATCTGGCTTTCCTGGAAGTACTAAGAGAATTTTCTTCTAAATTTTTTTGACAGGACCAAAGGACTGTTCATTCATACCTAGAAAAAAATCCTTATGGAGCAGATGATGGAAAGGAGGGAAGGCGTATGGCTTATACTCATCTTTTATAGAAATGTGTTAGTCACCAGAAGAGAAAATAACAATGTCTGTGAACAGTGGAAGTAGCAGCAGCAACAGCTCCTCAGTAAGGAATAAGAAGGACAACCCCCACTTCACAAGAAACGAGTAGAAGCTGAAAGTCTGGTAATACGTGGCTAAATAAGACTGGCACCGGGATTCGGACTCCTGAACCCTGCCAGCACCACCGCTCACTTCCACGGTCCTGCGGAAGAACAGCTGGCCCACGGGCGAGCAGACTCAGGAACCTGGGTCTGAACGTGATTCTGAACCCGCTCTTGACATAATCCTCAGATGCAGATCTCTTCGTTAGGCCAGCCAAAATTAGAAGACTTAAAAGGACAGAACAAGGACTACATGCATGTGAGAACTGGAGTGAAGCACGCTGTTTGGGTCCACTGGAGGAAGACGCTGAGCCCATCTTTGAAGCTGTGGTGATGTCCTTCTGGAGCCAGTTAGAAGATATGAATGAAGTATTCGAAGACACCGTGGTTACTATCTGCTCCCATCAAGAAATCGGTGAGAGAGCTGAGCTGATGCCAGATTTCTTATATTCTAAAGCTCTCCTAGAAGATGATTCAGGGTTGGGAATACCTGTGTTCTGAAGTCTGAAGAAAATTTACAAATCCAGAACTCTGTTTTTAGAGCTAGAGGCCTATATACTGTGATAGCTGGTGTGGGGGTAAAACACGTTTGATGTGATCTGATTTGTTTTTTAATCAAATGATTGAGGTCAATCCCCTTTTTCAGTGACAGAAGCATGTAAATTACCCAAGGGATTGTTGGTGAATGTCACCTCAGAAAGACTGACCTGAAAAGATATTTGTGTCCTAATATCAGATTTACCCAATACAGATGTGTGTTTTTCTGTAGGGAGGAAAAAATGAAAAATACTTAAAACAGCTGTCAAAATAAAAACTATTATATACCTGTGTTATGAAAAGTCGTCATTGAGTAAAGAATATATATATATTTTTAAACTTTATTTTCTTGCTGTACAATTTAAAAATTGTTTTGACATTTTGCCTTTTTATGTTTTAAAAGCTAACCATTTTTATTAAACCTATGAGTAAGCAGCTCATTTTAATTGCTGAAGAGTTTTGGAGCTCACTGGATTTGATTGACCTTATGAAATACAGAAATATGGAGGAGCAGAATATTGACAAGCTAAGACGAAATTCAGCCAGTGCATTTCTGCTCCAAATCACATGCCCTCTATGGATGTGGAGTTCCAGATTTTATATACTTTTGAATAAAAAGGTTTATTTTTATTTATTTTTTAATGCTCACCCGAGGATATTTTTTCATTTTTGTTCCGATAGAGTGGGAGGGAAAAAGAGGAAGAGTGGGAGAGAGAGATACACATTGACTGGTTGCCTCCTGCATGACCCCAGCCCAGGGCCAGGGAGGAACGCAACTGAGGTATGTGTCCTTGACTGGAGTCGAACCTGCAGCTCATTGGTCTGCAGGCTGATGCTCTAGCTGCTGAGCCAAACTGGCCAGGACAAAAGGTTTCTTTTTATTTATAATGGGGCATAAAATAAGCCATGCCTATGCAGCCATTTTTCCAACAGATGCTGTACACAATATTATATAGAATAGGGAGATCCAAATTTTCTGTTGGCGTTTGTTTTGTGCACTTTTAGCAAATGAAGTACTCTCAGTAAAAACAAACAATAAACAATGCAGAATTATTATAAAACACATGGTATTATTTATCAGTGAGTCACCAGTCTTGACAGACTCCAGGAATAGAACATCAAGTGGAAGCTCTGTCACACAAAAATGTTTAGAAAACAGAAGATGTAAAAGAACGAAGCAAAATGTGAGAGGGCAATGACACTGGATGAACAAAATGAACCAACTGGAATTTAAATGGAGGGAAAAAGGCACTTGAACAAAGTTTAGATTAAATTGCAGGTAAAACTGCTGAAGAGAGAAACAGCATTACGGAAAGGGGAAATAGACTAGTTAAGAAATAAAGATGTTAGAATGAAAAGATTAGAGGAATACAAGCTCCAGAAGGATTCAGTAGAAACTAGAAGAGGAGTGACACTATTTGCCAGAATTGGTAACAGGTCATTTAGGGATAAGACCTACTGTTACTAAAATGTTAACACAAGTTGAAGCAAAATGCTAAGTTGCTAAAGAGAATTCTGAGTGGATCCAGAGCCAGTGAAATAGGCATTACCTGAGAGTCCATATCATAAAGCATTGATTGATTGATCGATTGCCTGTCATACATCAGCTCTGTGCAAGGCTGTGAGGATACTAAAGACAAATACATTAGTTTTGTTCTGCTCTTTGGTTGGTCAAAAGCAGGAAATGGCTAACTTTATGTAAAGATCCAGGTAGTATACAGGATCTGTGGGTCACAATGTCTCTGTGATAATTACTCAACTCTGTCGTTCCAGCACAAAACCAGGTGTAGACAGTACTGAGTGAGTGTCTCTAAGTGCAACTGAAAACAGTGAGCTACATGGTCCTGAGGACTATAGTTTGCTGACCTCTGGTCAGGAGCATTGGAGTAAAACTTTTTTTTAAAATAAGAAATTTAATGTAAATTAGATTGAAAATTAAGTGTTTTTTTTAAATTAATTTATTTTTGTTACAAATGTTTCTCCTTTTTTCCACAATCAACACCCTCCTCCCAATACCCACCCCCCACCCCGCCCCAGCATTATTGTCTGTGTCCTTGTTTAGGCATACATGTGTATAAGTTCTGTGGTTTATCTCTTTCCTCCCCCCACATCCACCTCTTCTGAGGTTTGTCAATCTACAGCCCATTTCCATGTCTCAGGATCTATTTTGTTCATCAGCTTGTTTTGTTCATTATATTCCTCAAATAGGTGAGATCATGTGATATTGTTTTTCTCTAATTGGCTTGTATCGCTTAGGATAATACTCTGCAGATCATTCCATGTCATCTCAAAGGATAAGAGATCTTTCTTTTTTATAGCTGAATAGTGTTTCATTGTGTATATGTACCACGGCTTTTTTATCCACTCATCTACTGATGGACACTTGGGCTCTTTCCAGATCTTAGCTATTGTAAATAGTGCTGCTATGAACATAGGGGTACATATATTCTTTCTGATTGGTGTTTCAGGCTTCTTAGGGTATATTCCTAGAAGTGGGATCACTGGGTCAAATGGCAGTTCAATTTTTAATTTTTCGAGATAACATCATGTTGTTTTCCATAGTGGCTGCACCAGTCTGCATTCCCACCAGCACTGTACTAGAGTCCTCTTTTCTCCACTCACCAGCACTTGTTGATGATTTGTTGATGGCAGACATTCTGGCAGATGTGAGGTGATACCTCATAGTTGTTTTAATTTGCATCTATCTGATGATTAGTGACGTTGAGCATTTCTTCATATGTCTCTTGGCCATTTGTATGACCTGTTTGGAGAGGTGTCTATTTAGGTCCTTTGTCTTCCTTTTGTTGAATTGTATGAGTACTCGATATTTTTTGAAAATGAGCCCCTTATCTGATGTATTGTTGGCAATTATGCTCTCCCATACAGTGGCTTCCCTTTCCATTTTGATGGTGCTTTCTTTTGCTGAGCAGAAGCTTTTTAGTTTGATGTAGTCCCATGTGTTCATTTTTTCCTTTGTTTCTATTGCCTTAGGCATTGTATCACAGTAAATTCTGCTGCATGTGATGTGTGAAATTTTGTTGCCTGCATCTTCTAGGATTTTTATGGATTCATGGAACACATTTAAGTTTTTATCCATTTTGAGCTTATTTTTGCGTATGGTGTAAGTTGGTTGTCTAGCTTCATTTTTTTGCATGTAGCTGTCCAATTTTCCCAGCACCATTTATTAAAGAGGCTGTCTTTACTCCACTGTATGCTCTTGCCACCTTTGTCAAATATTAATTGAGCATAATGTCTTGGGTCAATTTTTGGGCTCTCTGTTCCATTGATCTATATGCCAATTCTTGTGCCAGTATCAGGCTTGTTTGATTACTATGGTTTTGTAGTATAACCTGATATCCAGTATTGTGATCCCTCCTACCTTGTTCTTTTTTAAGGTTGCTGTAGCTTTTTGGGGTCTTTTTGCTTCCATATAAACTTTTGGAGTATTTGTTCTAGTTCTATGAAATATGTTGTTGGTATTTCGATGGGGATTGCATAGAATCTATAGATTGCTTTGAGTAGTATGGACATTTTAATCATGTTAATTCTTCCAATCCATGAACAAGATATGTGCTTCTGCTTTTTTATATCTTCCTCTGTTTCTTTTTTCAGTGAACTGTAGTTTTCTGCAAATAGGTCCTTTACTTCTTTGGTTAATTTATTCCTAGGAATTTTTTTTTTTATCCTCACCCGAGTATATTTTTCCATTTTATTTATTTATTATTTTTTAAATTTATTTTTGTTACAGATGTTTCTCCTTTTTTACCCCATTGGCACCCTCCTCCCCATTCCCCCTGCCCCGTCCCCGGCTTTGTTGTCCATGTCCATTGGTTATGCATACACACATATAAGTTCTGTGGTTTATTTCTTCCCACCCCCCACCACCCCCTCTTCTGAGGGTTGTCAGTCTGTACCCTACGTCCATGTTTCTGGGTCTACCCTATTCCTCAGACTATTATGTTCATTATATTCCAAATATAAGTGAGATCATGTGGTATTTGTCTTTTTCTGCTTGGCTTGTTTCACTTAGAATAATACTTTCCAGGTCCCTCCATGTTGTCAAAGAATAAGAGATCTTTCTTTCTTACAGCTGCATAGTACTCCATTGTGTATATGTACCACCACATTTTTATCCATTCGTCTACTGATGGACACTTGGGCTATTTCCAGATCTTAGCAATTGTAAATAGTGCTGCTATGAACATGGGGGTACATATATTCTTTCTGATTGGTGTTTCAGGCTTCTTAGGGTATATTTCTAGAAGCGGGATCGCTGGGTCAAATGGAAGTTCAATTTTTAATTTTTTGAGGTAACACCATATTGTTTTCCATAGTGGCTGTACCAGTCTGCATTCCCACCAGCAGTGTGTTAGAGTCCTCTTTTCTCCACACCCTCGCCAACACTTGTTTGATGATTTGTTAATGGCGGCCATTCTGACAGGTGTGAGGTGATACCTCATTGTTGTTTTAATTTGCATGTCTCTGATGATTAGTGATGTTGAGTATTTCTTCACATGTCTCGGCCATTTGTATGTCCTGTTTGGAGAGGTGTCTATTTAGGTCCTCTGCCCATTTTTAAATTGGGTTCTTTGTCTTCCTTTGGTTGAGTTGTATGAGTACTCTATATATTTTGGAAATTAACCCCTTATCTGATGTATCATTGGCAGTTATGCTCTCCCATACAGTGGGTTGCCTTTCCATTTTGATGGTTGTTTCTTTTGCTGTGCAGATGCTTTTTAGTTTGATGTAGTCCCACGTGTTCATTTTTTCCTTTGTTTCTGTTGCCTTAGGTGATGTATCAGTGAAAATTCTGCTGCACATGATGTCATAGATTTTGTTGCCTACATTTTCTTCTAGAATTTTTATGGATTCACGGGT